TGTCGAAGTAAGCTCACATCTACACAAAGGATCAAAGGTGCAAAACTTACCAGCTTGTTCAGCATCGGAGACGTTCATCTTCTCTATCGCAACAAAAGGTATCTGTGTATCAAGAGTACACAGGAGTGCGAATACCCTCCTACTATTTAAGAGCTATACGTGAGAAGACTGTTTCCCATTCTCCTATCCGTCGCGGAAGTTATGTAGGCAACACCATGCGCGAACTATGGTTCCGCTCATTGTTGAATTTTCGAGTCGCTACCGATCCGTGGTACCATCCAGTGTCATATCATATGAGGCATTCGCCCCATCCCGGGCATCTTTGGGCCATCCAACACATGCCAGTTGCAAACTGCGTTGGCACGCTCAGGTTTTGAGACCTCCGGTTGGTGAGATGCAGCGGAGTCAGGTCCCATCCAAGTGCATGGACAGACTATAGGTTCCGCATCAAACGGGCACGCAGTCCTGGCCCACTTGCTCCATCACCATATCCAATTTATATGAACTGTTGAACAGTGTGGCCAAGCCGTTTCGGAATGCTGCATATAATCGAAGTTGGAGTCATTGTACTCTTCTAGGCCTGATGTCGACATGGAGGGCACTGAGTGGTCTACCAAACTATGTGGTCAATAAGAACGTTCCATTTTCGCGCACGTATTCCTAGCTTGGCCAGAAGCTGGCCGCTCCCATGGTAATTTGTATGGGACGACGCAGCATGCTGCGTCGTTTGCACATGCGAACTCCTTCATCTCGATGTCTCTTGATGCGCGCATGCCCGCTGCATCGCCTACGTCATAGGTTGCCAATCCATTTGTGTTGACATGCACTATCTTTGCATTAAGGATATGTTCAATCACTAACAAGGATAAACGGAGTAGAATTAGCATCGCAGTCGCAGCCAGATATATCGCGATGTGTTGTGGTAGAAGATGGGCATAGGGCGGGAATAGCCGGCGCGTCTTGGGTGGACCCTTGCTGGGGGAATATCAAAGAAAGTTGACGATGGTTATCGCCATCAGACGCAGCGCCGCGCATCGCCTCCACCCCTCCGCAGCCTACGCCAACTCCCGTAGGCTCCCTTCCTCCCCAATTCTGGGAGCGCCTTCGACGTCCGTATGTACGTGATTCGGTCCGCACTGCGAGTGTCTACGAAACGACCTCCAGCGCGCTTTATTCGCGGCCGCCGCTACCCTTCGACACCACGATTACGAGCATTCCACACCACACGCACCCTCGCCCAAGCCTCCAATCCGCCGCCCGCGCCCAATAGCACCCCCGCCGACCAAGATGACGTCAACAAGACGGACCGAGAGAAGGCAGCAGCAGCAGTGGAGGAGCCCGCCGACAGTGCGGTAGCATCAGAAGACCCAGAGGTTCTGGCACAGAAGCTGCAGCGATCGCGGGAAACCTCACGCAGGTACTCGGCTGCCTTGCGACGCCAGCAGCGAGGGAAGAAGACGCAAGGGCTGCCGCCTGTCCACATACCAGACTGGTTTCTGAAGAAGAGGGTACTACGCCGCCAACAATATCTCGCAGACCCACAAGTAGCCAATGCGCCCACGGTTCTCTCTGTTCAAGTCGCGCATGCTGAGTCCGGAGAGCATGCCGCGTGCACCATACCGGCTCCACGCGACTCGGACGCTACCCAGATCCTGTCGCGGCTAGTGCGTGGCCTGTGGAACAGGCGCCTGGACGATCACGAGAAGCTCAAGGTGGAGAGGTATCTGGAAGAGCAGATGGCACCGATAGATCAGGCGGAAACACACCAGTCACAAATCCGGAATGACGAAGCAGTCGCCAGCACCGAAGCAGGGCGCCCGGACGAAGTACCCATATCCACAATCACCGAAGACACTGCTTTCATGGACGCTTGGTCTAAGCTGAGCAAGATCCAGAACGACAAAGACATGGATCCGCGCCAGAAAATCGAGGCCATGAAGAAACAGAGTGCCAAATTGGGCATGGTTGCGAGGAAACGAGAAATCGCAAAGACTCGACAGGCTGGCAACTCCAGACGCCTATCGTCCTTGGTCGTTGCTGAGATTCGAGCTACTATGGCTGCGTCTCTTTCCTCCTTGCACCCAGCTGGCGACTCGTTCCCTGTTACAAAGACAAACCTTAGCCTTCACTCACCCATGGCTGAGCACGAGCCATTGATAGATGAATGCGTAACATCTACTGCTCTCGAAATGGGAGCTGACGTTGTTGTCCTAAAAGCTCAAGACCTTGCTCATCTTGCTGGAGATTACCTAGGCGAAGGAGCAGAGCCATCACCACGTTCGATACGCTCGCTGGGCTACGAAGCATACCGCATGAACACAGATCTCGGCGATCTCATGAGGGACATAGAAGACTCTATCGCGCAGGACGACTCCGAGTGGAATCAGTCTTCGTCGACGGATCAGCCTGATCCTAATTCAATGCGCCCCCGTGCTATACCCCTCTCCATAATTTCTCTAAAAGGCTCTCTTTCACCTGCCTTGCGGGCTATGACACAAAGCTTGAAGGGCATGGGCCTGTCAGCAGGCGAATTCGGAACGTCTGATGCGACAGTCGATGAGTCTGGGCGCAGTCAGAACCCTGGGGACGTACAGCTTGAGGATCTGAAGTTAGCCGCTCTCTTAGACGCACTAATTGATGCGGGTGATCTGAAGCAAAGCCGTGGTTTCGTCGACAATACACAACCTTCCCACTTGTCTGAAGAGTCCCAAACATCGTCAAAAGCTCCTGCCTTTTTCGACTACTCTCTGAAGCAAGAAGGTGCCGAGCTTGAACTCAACTCTGCCTTGCCGTCTCCTGCGAAGGCAGACATCAGCATGACTGTTAAAGTTGGCTCAGCTGCGAGAACCCTTAACGCCCCGACAAAGTCCAAAGTTATCTACATTCCGGATTTCAAACAACTGAATGCTACACACTATGGTGGCCGCATCGTTCAGAAGTTGGAAGAGCTTGTTCGCAAGCGCCGTCGTGCTGGAGAAAGCGTCATGATTGTGGGAAGCACTTGTTCACGCGACCTCACCCCTGAATTATCCGCCAGGTAAGGAGTACCCACACCGTAGAAACGGCTAAGCTAACACACATCAGTGGAGTTCGTGCTCTCCAAAGCGAAGGCGAAAGCGGCTTCTTCAGGACCATTGTCGTCGCATCAGAGTCTGGCAGCAGTAGTACACCAAACTTCGACGAAGCTCTCGCATCGTTGGGTAGCAACCCTGCGTCGTCGATTGACCTTTCAACAGCAGAAAAAGAAAAATTTCGACGCATCAATCTATGGCATATCCAAGACATGCTTCGCTCATTAGATCCAGCGGCGGCTACCAATATCTCGAATTTGGAGCAAAGTCCTTTCCGATTCGCTGAGTGGGCGCCTATATTCCATTCATCACAGTTCGGCCGTGTGTTGAGTTACGATGAGGTACACAGGGTGGCATTGACAGCTCTCGGCCTGCTTATCACACGCCCAGCAAGCGAGGCAGTACCCTCTGAGGACGCACCAGCGCAAGTAAGCTGGGCACATGTTGCGCTTGCTATGGGGCTGCTAAAGTCGAGTGACACAACTAAATACACCTCTTTTGAGAAGGCTGCGGCAGCGATCCCAAAACGCTCCAAAAACGCTTTTGGTAATCAGGAAGGAGGGTTTGAGGCAGACCTGGGCAGGAAACGTCCAGACGAGAAGAGCATGCAGCGTCAACGAAATCTGCAACGCATAGCATCTACAGCCAACAAGCACGAAAAGCGGCTCATGCCCGGTATCGCAGACCCGGATCAGATCAAAACGACCTTTGACCAAGTACATGTGCCCACCGAGACGGTAGACTCGATACGAACCATTACTTCATTATCACTACTACGTCCTGAGGCTTTCAGCTACGGTATTCTAGCGACGGAGAAGATATCCGGCGCCTTATTATACGGACCTCCAGGCACAGGAAAGACGCTTCTAGCTAAGGCTGTAGCAAAGGAGAGCGGCAGCACAGTGCTCGAAGTCTCCGGCAGCCAGATTATGGACAAGTATGTGGGTGAAGGCGAGAAGAACGTAGCAGCTATCTTCTCCCTAGCACGGAAGTTATCGCCATGCATCGTCTTCCTCGACGAAGCAGATGCCGTCTTTGCATCCCGAGACGCGATGCGCGAACGAACTTCGCATCGCGACATACTCAACCAATTCTTGAAAGAGTGGGATGGCCTCAATGATCTTTCTGTGTTCGTCATGGTAGCTACAAACCGACCTTTCGATTTGGACGACGCTGTCATTCGCCGACTACCCAGACGATTGTTGGTAGATTTACCCACGCAGGCCGACCGAAAAGAGATCTTACGCATACATCTCAAGGGCGAACAACTCGATGACTCTGTCGATCTAGCAGACATCGCCAAGCGCACCCCGTTCTACAGCGGAAGCGACCTCAAGAACATTGCCGTCTCTGCCGCCCTCGCATGCGTCAAGGAGGAAAACGAACAAGCCGCCATTGCCGCTGCGAAGGCCAGTACAGAGTCTGAGTCTGAGGCCGCATCCACTCCTGATTCGGAAACATCGGAATCTACAACCGCAGCCACATCCACAGCCTCTGAATCCTCCCAACAACAACCTTCCTCGCCGTCAACACCACCAAAAGCCCTACACCTCGTCCGCGGCCAAAACTACACATTCCCCGAGAAACGCATCCTACACTCGCGCCACTTTGATAAAGCGCTGCAGGAAATCAGCGCCAGTATCAGTGAAGACATGAGCAGTCTAAGCGCGATCAAGAAGTTTGACGAGCAGTACGGTGATCGCAAGGGGAATAAGCGAAGGAAGGACTTTGGGTTCGGGATGATTGCTGAGAGGAACGAGAGTGCGGCGAGGGTGAGGATATAGACGAAGGTGGAAGTAGGTAGGAGATAGCTGGTTGTTAGGGAAGTGGATGAGCTGGTAGAGAAGAATGGTGCATGTATATGCTGTACGAGTAGACGCTAGTCATGAAGATGAAGAATGAGTATATACTATCCTACTATCTGCTACCCTACCTCAACATCTCCTCAACCGTCTCCTCCAACGGCTTTGGCGCCCTCCCCGCCTCCTTGAGCAACGCCTCCAACGTCCCATCATCAATCTCGCATTCGCCGTCTTTGAGCGCATCATACGTGCTGCTCCACCACTCCACACTCGGCCTCTCCATGCCCTTCTCGTTCACATAGTAATCTTCATACTCCTTCCTACTCACAACCTTGAGCTTGACCTCCTCGCCCCGCACTTTACTCACAATGCGCGCGATATCGCTCAGCGAATGAGTTTTCTTCTGCGACAGATAAAACGTCTTTCCAGCCCATTGCTCGCGCGGCGCTGCAAGGACTTTCGCCGTACCAAACGCCATGTCGGGTATACTCGTCCAGCTCACGTTACCATCTCCGGCAACAATGACTTCCTTCCTCGTCTCCTCTTTAAGCCCAAAGTAATATCCGAAATACAAGGGCCAACTCTCGTTGTACAATCCCTCCCTCAAAACCGTGTATGTGCACTTCCCTTCCTTCGCCAGGTCCGCGAGATACGCTTCTGTCCTGATATGCGCACGCATGACACCGGCTTTAGAGGGGTTCGCGAAACCGAGCGAGGTGTAGTAGATGTGCTGCACGCCTGCTTGCAATGCGGCGTCGATGGCGGCGCGGTGGTGGGCTTCGCGGCCGTGCCAGAGGGGCGCGTTGTTGTAGTCCATTTCTATGCGGGGCGTGGAGACGAGGAAGAGGGATGTGCATCCTTTGTATGCGCTGGCGAGAGAGGAGGGGTCATCGAAGTTGGCCTGGCGGAGGGTGATGGATTGGGCGCGGAGGGAGGAGAAGCGCTCGGAGGAAGGGTCGCTGGATGTCTGTGAGGGTTGTTAGTTACGAGAATTGGGAGTGAGAATAGGGGAGGATGAATGGAAAGAGAGACGTGCGCATACTACAAGCTCCTTTGGGTCGATGAGCTTGTTGTCGAGGATGGCATTGAGCACGGCACTGCCGAGTTTGCCTGTTGCGCTGGTGAGGGCTAACATCTTGATTGTTGGATACGTGTGGTTTCGTTCTGACTTCTAGATCAAAGAAGAAAACTGTGGTCGTCCTTTCAGAGACGCGTCGTGTTTAAAAATGTCGCGTCGATGACTTCATCGCTAATCAGGGTCCACGGCAGTTGTGGTCGCAGTGGGGCGGCTGGTTCGACATTCTCGATTTCGACACTGTCGCGCAATTCGTCTAGGTATCCGATACATTGGATCCCCTTACTGTATTATGGCTTACAGTATCGTAGCCGCGTACAGATGTGGGCTAGTATGTCGTAATGGGCGCGTGTTAGTGGCGCGTCAGGAGATTAGCTTTGACAAAACCCCGCTCCCGCTACGAAGGGACATTTTTCTTCGTATATACGGGATGCTGAAATGGCAAATACCTTGCTTCGAGCTCTCCAAGATTTCTTCGACGTGAGCATCATGAGCATACGACGTACTGCTCTTCACGACCACCGCAAATGCCTGGCATTCACATGTGCGAGGTCCTGCAACCGTACCATAACTGCGAGAATACCCTTGATAGAACTATATTATAGTTATTGTCCTTACTCTGAAGCGAGCGTGAAGACGACGGTCTTCAGCGTGGTTTCTGTTCATCTCCCATACAAACATCCCTATTCGACGGTATTTCCCCGGTGGGTCCTCTACGAGCATCAGGCCATGATGAGTGAATCTTCCCCTGTCCCTAACCCTAATTCTGGCCTGATATTGGAGGCTATAGTCTTTGTGGGGAAGCCAATTGTACATATGTTTACCAAGCCCATCGCAAGGATTGCGCCTCGGGTGTACTTGTTGCATCAACAAAACTGCCAAAACAGGGATGACTTCCCCATCAAGTCGGCCATGCTCTCTGGCATCCCGAAAAACCTCCACGGATACTGAAGGGCTCAAATTCATCCTCGCCATAGACTCGTCGTGGTACGGCCATTCGATCCATAGTACAGGCGCCCTTAGCTTCAAGAACCCAGCGTGTATCTTGCCAAAAGTTGTATTGGGCGGCTCTTGTTCAATCGCCAAGTCCAGAATCGTAGTTTTTGGATTCTTCATGATGTCGTCGATCCGATGATACATGCTGTGGCTTACTGCCCCTGCGGGCCGGGCTACGTCAACAGCAGCCCATGACCATGAGGGCGCACGGTATACATCTGGCCGCCAAAAGATATCGCCTCCGCGAGTGCTCCAGCACAAGTCCTTCATCAAGGATTCTTTCCAAAGACCCGCGATGTATGTATGACCTGTAAATTGCTTGTACAGATCGGCAAGAGCTGATAGTGCTGTGAGTTTGTCAGACGGGAAACTGGTCTGTCGTATTGCATATTCGTCCACGATGCCATGCCAGGGTGGTAGTTCTTCATGACTCGACAAAGGTTGGTAGAGTCGCTGTTCTTGCGTAGCTGCTGCAAGACGTTTTCCCGATCTTGTTTTCTTCCATCGCTTCGAGCCGCCGCCCTGGCATCGCTTGCCCTCATAGCAGTATAAAGCAACGTAATTGTGCTTGAAATCAAGGACTCTAGGAGATAATCGTCGCTCTTGATAGGTCCAAGCGCGTTCGTTTATATGTTCCGTCTCATCTCCGCAGGCACTCTCATGGCGAACATATACGATTTCGCCTGCATCCGAACCGTCATCGGCAAGATATGGCAGCGATATAGGGAGTGCACGATGAGAATAACACCGTTTCTGCAAGAATCCTTCCGAAACACTTGCTGCGGTAGAAGCAGAAATAGTGACCCATGCTCTTTGGTAAATTTGGGGCATGGAAGCCAGCTCCCGCGCAAGATCTTCGTCGTCATCCTGAATGATGCAGAGTGAATCCACCCAGAGGTAGTCCAAAGACATCGCTATGCAAACTGTGACAGCATCTCGAAGGGTTAGTGGTAGATCTTGTGCTCCAAACCCCGCCTGCATACTGGCGAAGGAAGCAGCGGTAGTTTGAAAGCTTTGTACTCCGCCCCAAACATAGCTCAAAGCGGCCCATCGAGTGTGATGACACTGCAAGTCTTCAACTAAACGGACAGTTGTTTTTTCTGCGGTCGACTCAATCCGTAAAAGTCGCCGCGGTACGAAGTCGACTTGCTTCTGCCTGCATAGAGCATGGGAAGAGTGACATTCTTTGAGCCATCGATACATTACGGCCAAATTTGACTTGGAGGCTACATCTGCGTTGTACCATCCTTTGGTGATTGTGTTTAGCTCACTAGCAGCTTCACCTATCGTCGTTCTGATAAGAATGTGCCAGGGACGTATATGGATTGGCGTACCTGTTACTCCAATAGGTACCATCTTAACATAACCCTCGTCCTTTCCACCAAGTTGGCTATAGTGCCAAAAATCGAGCATCGGAAGACGTTTCTTGGGAGGGTACTCTGCTGCTGAAAGACGGAGACAATATCGTCCACTTATCGAGTGCTCGCGCCCAAACAGCATGCTCCTATGCCGACGCCGGTGACCTATACAGCCGGGGCATCCAGAGCAGTGTAGCATATGCGACGTCATCAAAGCAGCGGCAAAGCAAAGTATGAGCTCGCATTGATCTTCTGCGGCTTGTCGGATCTCGGCTATGGTATGCGGGATTTTGATTAAACATGGCAACTGCGTGATATTTTCCTTCCGGAGCACGATCCGCTGACAATGTTTGCAGCTGTGAGGGCGAATCGGAACATGGGGGCTTGCCATCGCGTTTCAGGCTTGTGATATTTCGTCCAGGACACGACGAGTGTTCGATAATAACTGGCGTGAACATGTCATAAGTAAGCGGGGCGGTTCGACACTTTTAACGAAAGTTGCAGCCTGCCATAGCCGCGGCTGTGCATTTTCAGCCTCGTTCGTATTGATGTATTCCAGGCCAAACTGGTTAGACTTCATACATCGGTACAACGGCAGGAGTGTGGCTGCATGTTCGATCCGTAGTCATCCACATATTCCAGCGGTATCGCGTGCAGGACGCGCAACGCTGATAAGAGATTCATACAGGCCTTGGTGCGGGGTTGGCGAGAAAGTGGTGTGGCAGGTCGCATGGAGGCTGGAAGGCGCAGGCAGGACACGAACGCTTGGACCCATTAGCTGCCTGAGGCTGGAGCGAAAACGCTCAACTCCAGTCGCGCAATTCACGAACACACTGATACGCGATGACCGAAATATAAAAGACAGAACATGCACACAAAGAGGGATATATTCTGTCTTTCCACTCCATCTACACCAACATCCTCTCCTACCTCCTACCACCCTATCCATCCCTCCTCCCAATCCCTAATGCAAAAAACGGCAGGCTTTCCACCACCATACCACTAAGAATCACACAAACGAAACAAAAGTATGGATAAACGCCGCTAACGATGCAAGAATTCGCCCAAATCCCTTCAGCTTCCAATGCCGGGGGTGTAAATGACCGTGATATAGTCCTTTCAAACAAAACAAGAAAAAAAAACGAATAGCTTACGCATACCGCACACTACTCCTATGCACCGGCGGCGGCATGGGCACATTGCCCTGTGGCGCATGCGGATTTGGTTGCCACGGCGCCGCTGCACCGTTTGGTGGTGGCGGTCCCTGCGGAGGAGGATAACCGTTGTTATATTGGCCCATGGGAGGAGGGCCCATAGGTCCGCTTCGGTTCCTCCTCGAGCTGCCACCGGATTGGTAAGGCATCGGCGGGGGAGCCTGAGCGTATTTCTTGAGTTTAGAGCGACGGCGGTAGGAGCGCAGGCAGCAGCAGAAGATGCAGAGGAGGAGGGCGCCGCCGATTCCGGCTGCGAGACCGATGACGAGGGGGAGGTGGCGCTGGATCCAGGTGGTGATTTCTTTGCCGACGGAGCCGCCTTCGCAGACACCCTGTGATGTGTTAGTGTTTGAACTGAGGTAGGAGAGTAGTCGAGGAGAACTTACGTTACTGCATTGACCTCCACCGGTACAACTTGTTCCGTCGAGGAAGTTTTGCTGAATTCCATAGCATCTAGCTCCGAATTCTGGGCTTGCGCAGCTGATCATGCAGTTGCTGTTGTCGCAGGCATACGTGTCGTTGCCCTTTGTGTAGCTACCCATGATGGTCTTGCACTGCATGTCTCTGCTCGTGCACTGTCCGGACGCACAGCTGAGGCCATCACCACAGTCTGAGCCATCCTGCTTGGTCTTGTCCTCGGGGCAGTATGGCGAACTTCCAGTGCACGTCTCTTGTGGATCGCACTCGCCAACGGAAGCGCGGCAGACGGTGGTGGCAGGAGCGAAACCGCAGTCGCGGCAGCAGTCTTCGTTGGAATCGTCGCACACGGCGTTATTGATGAACTGGCAGGTGTCGGGGTTACAACATTTGTTGCCCTCACAGCCTGAGGCGCCACCGCAGTCGCACTGCTCGCCGTCTTCAACGATACCGTTGCCGCAGTTTGGACCAGTAAGAAGAGCGACATCGCGGTTGTTGGTAAGACACTGAGACTTGACACTGTTGCGTCCGAGCGCAGAGCAGATGTTTCCAATAGAGCAAGCGGAAAAGCGGGAAATGCCTTCGGAAGTCGAAGGGTTCATGATGAAGCCGCCTCCGGCGTCGCATTTGCCTTGGCTGAGGGGGCAGCATTGTTGTGCGCTGACCAGGTCGCTGTTTGCGCAGGATTGCGACGTGCAGTCGTGCACAGCACCGTAAGTGTGTCCCGTCTCGTGAGCAATGACCTGCCACTCGGATTGAGTTTTGATAACAACGTTGGCACCAGCGACTTGCTCGCCAGCGTTTCCGCTGTTGTCCTGAGAGCCTGTAGTGCAGGCTTGTCCAAGCCAAGCCAGTCCAACGGCGGATCCGGTGTTACAGGTAGATAGCAATGTCCAGTGTGAGTATTGATCGTTCTGCTGGCCCCTCCATGTGGAAAACTGGTTCAGACGGTCTTGGATAGTAATGCTGCCGCTGCAGTCTTGGTTCCATGGTGTCGCCTGCTGTTGCTGTGTCGGGCATTCAGGTTCCGTGATGAGCAGATTGGCCAAGCCGAGGGAGATGTTGAAGGTACTCT